GGAATGAATATCACCTTTCTTAGCCTATCATCTTTACTCTTATCATCTTGTCAACTGAAGCATTTTCCATACTTCTTGAGAAATGTAAAGACACTTCAGGTCTTGGATATTTCTAACAATAAGATTTGTGGTCATATCCCTAACTGGTTTAGCGGCATGAGGTGGGACTCGTTGCAATTCCTAAACCTTTCTCATAATTCATTAACAGGCCACCTACCACGATTTCGTTACTATAACCTACAGTATCTTGATCTGAAATTTAACTCCCTCCAGGGTCCACTACCTACATCCATTTGTAACATGGGGAAACTTATCTTATTAGATTTATCACACAACTACTTCAGTGCCTCAGTTCCACATTGCTTGGGAAGCATGGCTAATCTAATGGTGTTGGACTTAAGAAAGAACAATTTCACAGGGAGTCTTCCCCCATTATGTGCACACAACACTTCATTGAGTACCATTGTCGTAAATGGCAATCAATTTGAAGGACCTATTCTTGTGTCGTTGCTCAAGTGTGATAGTCTAGAAGTCCTTGATTTGGGGAACAATGTTATAAGTGACACGTTTCCAGCTTGGCTCGGAAGTTGATTTATGTGGTCCTCCTTTATCAAAACAATGTGGAACGAGTGATTCATCACATGTTCCTCAACCATTGGAGTCTGAAGAAGATGAAAGCGAGTCATATTTTTTTAGTGGATTTACGTGGGAATCAGTAGTCATAGGCTACAGCTGTGGACTAGTTGTTGGAACTGTCATGTGGAGCCTCATGTTCAAATATCGTAAGCCAAAATGGTTTGTGGAATTTTTTGATGGACTCATGCCTCACGAAAGAAGAAGGCCGAAGAAGAGAGCTCAGAGACGACAGACTTAATGGAATATTGAGAGGGGCCAAGTTGTCTTTAGTTGATTGAACTTTTCTGGTTGTGTGTTTTAATTTTCTGTTTGTTGTGTTGTATATGTTTGGTAGAAACATAATTATAATTATATGCATGTGTGTTATTTTAGTATCAATGGTTATATTAATCTGTTTCTGTTTCAAGTTGACAAAAGTGATCTACACAGCCACTCATTAGCTCAGATTTTTCAAAAAAAGTTATGTATTTCTTAAAAGAACCAACATCATATTTAAAAAACGCGGGGTTCCACATATATTAGCTTAGGTACAAATAACATGAAAGTCAAATATATCATCATATATCATCATATCATATCATATATTATTATTATAAGTGGAAAGTTCCATTATGCAAAGTTGAATTACCATATTACCCTTAAACTAAATTAAAATATCATTAAATATCTAATTATTTAATTACTAAGTAATAATTATATTATCGTATACTAAATACTATAAATTAGAAGGTGTAAAGTCAAACTTTGAAAGACAAAAATATTTCATAGAAAATTGTTAGAAATTATTTCATAGAAAGTTGTTAGGAATTACTTATTTTTTTATAAAAACGCTTTTATCTAATTCTTTTAAGAAAGGTTATGTTTAAATGGATTAAATTTGTTAATTAAATAACGTGTTTTTATAAAAAAAAAAAAAGATAATTAAAGTGTTTATCCTTTATTCTTTATTCTTTTTCTATAATTTGTGTGGTTAAATGAATTAAATTTGTTATCCTTTATCTATAATTAGTGTAATTAAATGTATTAAATTACTAGTAAAAACAATCAACCTTTCCTCTCCCCCGTGTCTAAGATCATTAACCTCTGAAAATTAACTTAAACAACTCTTCACCTTTTCATCTTATCCTATAAATCTTTAGCTATATATATATCATGGAAAAGTAATTTTTCTTTACCAATTGCCTCTTGTTGATGTGAATCATTAGGCAATTTTCAGGTACTTTTTTTCTTGTTTTGAAATATTAATATTTGTTTTGATCCTAATTAGAATGATATTTTGTTATCATAGTTTTACCTTTACCATTTTTAGATGGCTTTTTTTTTTTCTAACTGTTTATAAATATCTGAATTTTTTGTGGAACAATTATTATACTCTTATTTTGTCATATTTTCCTCATTCTTGTGTTTGCTTCTCTTTTTCTGTCATTTTAATTTTTAATTTTTAATTTTTAATTGATAAGCTAAATTTCTTTTCAGGTTATTGTCACATTAACCGTATGGATTATATATATATATACACTAAAAGTGGAAAAAAATAATTAAAAATTGAATTATCAAATTATCCTTTATAGGTTGAATAGTCATTTAAGTATTTAATTAAACACTAATCCTTTAATTATTCGTATTAAAAAGTAAATTTACCTATCTATTAATAATATATTTCATTAAAATGAAACAAGAAAACAGATACATTCTCACTCATTAGTTCATTCAATTCAATGTGGTGGAATTACTTTCATATTCCACAATTATTCAACCTTTAGAATTTCTTTTTAGTATTTTAGATTTGTAAAATTTTTGGTAATAAATATAAACTATAAACTAATAGTATTCAGGAAGTCCAAGTGACGGGCATATCTATGTGGTCAAGAGAATCATTTAACTTTTTCTTGCTCTTTTTGGATTTTCAATTATTTTAAAATTTATATGCTATGTACCATTCATAATATATATATAAAAGTTTAAAGTTGAATCATCATTTAATTACCCCTATGTTAATTCAAAATATTATAAAATATTTAATAAATTAAATATTAAATAATAATCATATTACTATATTAGTATTATGATGAATAAATACTACAAGTAGAAAAATGTAGTAAAATAAATAAAATAAAAAGATTAAAATATCCATAAAAGTATGTGCATTTATTTAGTACGTGAAAACTTGTATCTGATACTCTAACTAAACCTTTTCCCCTTACTCTAAAATAATTTAAATAACTTAATTAATGTAGTAGTATTTGACTTCATGAAAATTTATGTGCATTTTGTATTTTATGCAGTTCATAAATGTAATTAATACTTTCATGTATAGGAAAAATCAAAGAATTATATTTGAAGTCTTATTATTATGATGTGGTTATTTTTTGTTCACTATAAATAATATGATAACACTATTTATTTAAATATCATTTGCCGTAATGTTTTACTCTCTTTTATTTACTTATTTATTATTTTTCTTCTTTTTCTTTTGCTTTAAATATTCGCCTTCATAATTCATAATATAATATAATTACCTATTCAATTGGTACTCTTAATATTCATAACTCTCGTGTTTTTCATATTCATAACTTTCAAATATTTAATTTAAAACTTTAGGATGTCTTTGATATTCCTCTACTTTTATCTATATAAATCATTCTTTTTATTTCATGAGAAGAATCTCTACCAAAGGTTATCCATTTTTTGTACAGTTAAAGTAGTGAAGCACTTGGATCATTATTAAGGCATTTGAATTTATTTGGGTATCATCAAGAACTCTACTCCTTATGTATTTTTTTTTACTATATATATTGTTATAATTAAAGTCTTAAGAAGGATATGAATATAGTATTTGTTCTTATCTGTTTATTTTTTTTGTATTCTTTACCGATTTATACTTCTTTAATTTAATCTTCTATGAAATATGAATGTTATAAGCCTATTTTTATTAGTGCTGAAATTACTAATTTATGACTTTTATATTCGTTTTTAAATGTACTTTTATAATATTTTCTTTCTTTTATCCTTTCCTTACTGATACGGTTTCTTTAAGTAGCAACCTATTTGTGTACTTACAGATATGAGAGCGTAATGAGAGATTATTGAGGATAAGTCATATAGATATATTCATATTATTAGAGGCTATAGTATCTTAATTAGTTTTCCATATTTCTTGTTTGATGATCAATGTACTATTCGATTATTAGGAATTTTATTTAATGAATAAAATATAAATTGGTAAAACTAATATTTTTAGTTTCAACATTTTCTATATAATAATTCAACTTTATAATAATTGTATGGGACAAACGTGCAACGCACGTTCCCAGGAACTAGTATTATTATAAGTGGGAAGCTCCAAAATGAAAAGTTGAATTACCATTTTATTCCTACACTAAATATAAATTTAATCAAATTTCTTAATAAATAATAATATTTTAATTATATAAAGATAACATTAAAAGTCCAGCAACTATAATTTTAAAATATAAAACTTATTAATAATCATATGCACTGAACCGGATAAGCAATAGATGGTTTATCTGCCAGTAATTATTATAGTAGCAAATTTCCTCAATATTAATTAGAATACAACCTTTTCACATTCCAACATTTATTAGTTTGATTGAAGCTTCTACATGTTATATTTGTTCATCTATCAATACTTATTATAGCATATTATCTTAATATGTAGTAATTTAGAATACAACGTTTTCTCAACAAAACATTTTCTTGTGTAATTTTTGTTCGTTCTTTTTCTTAGTTTTTTTTGTACTTGCAATGTATAAATCTCATAACAATGGCTATACGTAGCTGTTGTTTGGAAGTTGGAAAGAACATTGTATCATAGTTTAAGTCTTTTCGTCTCCAACAATAAAACTTTTGCTTTTCTTTAGTTACCTAACTTAATTGATAATGAATGATCTTATCTATTCCATTAAATTATGCTCAATGATCAACTTATATAAATGAATTCATAAATCAAGAATATGTACAACTCTCTCCATTAGGGGAAGCAATAGAGGAAATATTTTAAAGAGTAAGTTCATTTTTCAGCTTTGTTATTTTCTGTGAATGTGTTCGTAAAAATATATTATTCTTGTTTATATAATATTTTATGAGTTTTAAGTTTTATAAATTATCAATGTTTCTTATATTCATGTTTATGAGTTAAAATCAAACTGATGTATTGACATAGAAGTGTTAGAGATTGACTTTTGGTCCTCTTATATGTCATACCTTTACCATTAGCTTTGAGTCTTTGCTTAGCTTGAAGTTGTTTGAAACTTTAATTTTTTGATACCTTAAATTTGCTGCAGTTGGTAAAAAAAAAGTGGATAAATGAAAAAGAATAGGTATTCATATATAATATTTTGGTGATATATGTTTATTAATGTTTCCCTAATTATATAATTAAAGTGGATGAATGAAACTATTCTAACCGTTGAAATCGGTAATTAAAACAACAAATGGAATACACATCAAGAACATTACTTATGAAAGAGTATCATGTAATATATCAATACATTAAATGATTCTCAAAATATAATTCATTATACATTTTACCTATCTAGATAAATTTAGTTGTTTCAAATAATATTTAATCATCTAATATTGTTCAACGAAGAAGTCATTGAATATAAGCTGATTATTCAACTATTTTAGCTTGTTCCTTTTCACTTTATTCTATTATTCATTACAATGTATTTTGATATGATTTATTTTGTATGAACTACTTGTATGGAACACACATGCAAAGCACGTGTCCAGAAACTAGTATTACTAAAAGTGGGAAGAATCTAAGGCAAAAGTTAGATTACGAAAATACCCTTAGGTATTAATTTATTTCTTAAAATCATTTTTTAAAAAATTTACTTTTTTCTATTTTAATTAAATAACACAATAATCTACTTTAAAGTATTTTAATTATATATATGTAACAATATTAAATGGCTCAATAATTAATACTTCACTTTTTCTGATAAAAATAGTAATAGTATAAACATAGGTTACAATAAAATTTAATATTTACCTATAACTCTAAATTATTTATTTATTTTTAATATTTACAAAAAATGAATGTGTCAATTACTACTCATTTATTTATTTATATTCTGTAATATAAACATTTATTTGCCTTTATTTCAATTATTCACATGAATTTTGATTATCATAACTCTTATATTATATTAATAGTCTTTTTCATAATATCATTTGATATTCCCTATTATTGTCCTATAAACAGAGATATTA